CCCCTATAACTTATAACTTTTTTATCCTATACTTTAATAATTCCAGTTTCAGGATAACCATAATGTCACCCTGACAGTCTAATAATTGTTCCAGTTTTTATTCTTAACAGTATTTATCTATACTTTTGATGACATTGAATATTATTTTTCTTTTTTTCTTTTTTTCATTCACATAAACTTGCTTAATTTATTTTTTTAAAGTTTTTATTTAAATTCCAGGTAGTTAACATACAATGTAATATTAGTTTCAGGTGTACAATATAGTGATTCAACAACTCTATACATTACTCAGTGCTCATCATGATAAGTATACTCTTTAATCTCCTTCATCTTTTTCACCCATCCACCCCACTTCCTCTCTCATAACCATCAGTTTATTCTCTATAGTTAAGAATCTGTTGTGCTCATGAACCGTTTTACTCACTTCTATTCATTTCCTTTGTTCAAGAGAGTTGGTACCTCCCTCAAGTAATTCTGAAGATTTTCTTTCAGGTTGCTTTCTATTTTTTACAAGTGTGTCCTTCCCAGGCAAGTCAGTATCTGACAGTAAAAATTAATAGTTTCATTATAATTTTTAGCCAAAAAAGACAATGTCTCTGAGGTTTATAATATATTTCCTACATCTGAGGAATTGGAGTAGGACTGAGCCAGAACTAAGAAGAACCATGTCAGGAGATAAGTTTAAAAAGTACAAAATAATATATAGCCTTAGAAGCCAGGATAGCCATTATTCTCAGAGACAGTGGATTCTTCTAGCATTCTAGTAGTGTAATGTTTTAATATGGGTGCTGGATCCATTAGTAGACCCAACCTGTGAAAAGTTAAAAAGGAGAGGTTGTGGAGGGAAAATAAATAAATGAGAGTGTAAAAGTGAAAAACATATTGACTCCTTCATGGAATCATTTCACCTGGCTATCTTCATCTTTTTGTTATTCTGTACTCAGAGGAAGAAAGAAAATTTGGAAAACATTACAAAATGAGATTGTTTAAGGAAGTGACTACAAGACTCAGTTTAATCACAGAAAGGTAGTGGTTCTAGAGACTTCAGTAAGTGGAATGGATAGATATAGATATATTGGTGTGTTCCTGAAAGAAATTAACATTGGTAAAATTTGCTCTGCTTTTTTCCTTCTATGGCCAATTGCAGATATGCCTGGGTAGAGAAAATGTGATAGTCATCAGTATGAAGACCTAGTGTCAGCTTCAAATCTCTTGAGATTTTATTACAATTACCCGTTTACCTCATAAGAGAAGAAAACAAACCCTCTCCTCCCACCAAGAATGATGGTGCTTTGTCCATATCCCCACACTGGTGTTACTGTATAAATTAGGGACTTCTGGGCCAAAAGTGTCCACGTCTCAAATGAATGACTTTCTCCTCTCCAGGTCTGGGTTCTGGTCCTCATGTTTTCATGGTAGGTCCAGAAGGTACAGGAATAAGACTGACATGCACAGGCAAGAGGTGGTTTCCCCAGCCTGAGGTGCAATGGAAAGATGCAATGGGAGAGAAGATACCATCTCTTTCTGAGGTTGAGACCCAGGATGACGATGGGTTATTTCAAATAGAGGCATCCCTCATTGTAAGAGACAGTTCAAAGAGAGAAGTGTCCTGCTCCATGAAGAACCCCTTCTTTGGACAAGAGCAGGTGGAAACCATTTCTATCCCAGGTCAGTGTTGCTCATTTGGGGGACAGGATAAGGGTAAGGAAGGGACATTTAAGAACTAGGATGGAGTAGGATTGCTTGGTGTATGTTTTTAATCAAGTCTTTGGGACCTCTGTATCAGAATCCTTCTTCCCTAGGACCTCCCCTTGGATGACGGCATTTGCTGTGACTTTTATCATACTTGGGATATTCCTGGGTGCTGTTGTGTTTTTGGCCTGGAAAGAACGACAGGAGAAGAAGAGAGCACAGGAAGCCCAGACAGAAAAAGAGAAAGAAAGTAAAGACAAAGGTAAAACTGTGAATCAGACTTGGTGGGATCTGTGAATTTATGGGTTTGTTGGCTGTATATATAAAAGTATGCATGGTATGATCTCAATTCTTGTATACTTATGAAGGGCTGTTTTGTGACCCAGTATGTGATCTATCTTGGAGAATGTTCCATGTGCACTCCAGAAGAAAGTATATTCTGTTGCTTTGGGATGAGGAGTTCTAAATACATCCGTCAGGTCCATCTGATCCAATGTATCATTCAGGGCCCTTGTTTC